AGGATATGAAGTATAATAGACTTGTTCTGCCTGTGATGCTAGAACGAACGGGTCGTCGGATCCAAGTCTAGACTTATATTTGATATCTACCAAATTGTGTTTAGAGTCAACTCTAACCCCCGAGGCAGTATCAAGCCAAGTGCATTTGAACATGACAATCACCTGTCGCACTGAGCCATAATACTCCACCTCTATAACTTCATCTAACATTCCATAGAAGTCAGACTCACACTCGTCATAACAGACCCCCCTTACACATATACCACTATTATGGGTAACTCGACCAGATCCATGGGTCACTGTATGGAACTTGTAACCATTCACAATGTATCCCTGACTACTAGAAAGTCAAACCGTAGGTTTAGAGGAGTTTCGGATGACTTTAAAACGATAAGTGTAACGGTTTGACTACTAGAAAGTCAAACCGTAGGTTTAGAGGAGTTTCGGTTTACTTTAAAGTGTTGACTACTAGAAAGTCAAACCGTAGGTTTAGAGGAGTTTCGGATTATTTTAAAGTGTTGACTACTAGAAAGTCAAACCGTAGGTTTAGAGGAGTTTCGGATGACTTTAAAACTATAAGTGTAACGGTTTGACTACTTGAAAATCAAACCGTAGGTGTGAATGAAATTGGCGGTCTTTGAAAGAGTTGAGAAGCCTACATGTAAAGAGTTGACTACTTGAAAGTCAAACCGTAGATTCAGAGGAGTTTCGGATTACTTTAAAGTGTTGACTACTATAAAGTCAAACCGTAGGTTTAGAGGAGTTTCGGATGACTTTAAAACTCTAAGTGTAAAGGTTTGACCACTTGAAAGTCAAACCGTAGGTTTAGAGGAGTTTCGGATGACTTTAAAACTCTAAGTGTAAAGGTTTGACTACTTGAAAGTCAAATCGTAGGTTTCTCGAAGTTTCGGATGACTTTAAAAATCTAAGTGTAAAGGTTTGAACGAGTAAAGAAGCCTATGTTTTTAAAAATTTCGCCGGCATGACGGCTATAAAATGAATATTTCCAAATGAATTAAGCCTAACGTTTGCGCAACAATTGGCAACCCAACTACAAATATATATATATATATATATATATATATATAATCAAGCCTAACGTTTGCCCAACAATTGGCAACCCA